ATGCAGTAAGTTCAACCGATGTGATCATACTAAGCCAGAGGCGCTTCCATAAAATAATTCCTTTCATTAAGCCCATATGGGGATATTAAGCCCGCAGCACCTTGCATAGAATACTAGATTACCTGTTGCAGCTTCATGCGCAAAAAAACGACAAAATAGGAGAAAACAGGACATTTTCTTTCTTTTTTTTTTCTTTTTTTCTTTTTTGGTGGATGACCACGGCACAAAAGGCAGCAAGGGAAATCATGGTAACCCCGGACCCGGACACCGGACACTTCCGGACTGTCTTCCGGACCAGTGTCTGGACCGGTCCGGACTGTCCGGTGATCCGGACATCACTGGACAACGGACATCACCAGACACCGGACAGAAATGTCCGGACCTAAAATAAAAAATAAAAAAAAAAAAAACAACAGAGGGGGCTGGGGGGATTGGGTGGGGGTGTTGGCAGGCACTTACCTGCTTTGCACTCTGTAGTTCAGGCAGCAGAGCACGTGTCTTGCAGCAAATCAAGTTTAATCAACCAGCACATTTTACTAGCAGACATGCAGAGTTGCAAACAGTGCAAAGCAGGCACAAGACTAGAGAAACAGAGAATTTTTTTTTGAAAAAAGTATGATTAACTTTGAACTTTGAACTTTGAACTTTGGATTTAGTAATTTAAGTTCATAACTTCATATATAACTTAAAGTTCGAACTTTGCAGTTCAATTCAGAATGTCAGAGTCTTCAGACTGGCAGCACTGTCAGTGCTCTCTCTCTCTCTCTCTCTCTCTCTCCCCAATGGGCAGCAGCGGCGGGCGCCAAGTCGAAACGGCCGCTTTGAAATTGCTCGGGCCTGTGCGAGACCCGCCACCTCAAAAACCTGCAGTGTCTTGTGTCTGGACCTCTAGGCCATGTCCAGTGGGTTGAAAGGACACTTAAAAATCACCCCATTATTTTTCGAGGGGCCGCTAGGACCCAACAAACGTCCTGGGCCGCCCCTTTTTTTTTTTTTTTTTCTGCCCCAGGGGCCTCCATCCAGACATGGGGACTGTCTGGAACCCGGTCCGGACGTCCGGGAGGTTACCATGAGGGAAATAGAACACAAATCCACAAATAACAAGGGTGCGCACATCAAGAAAATGCCTTACGGACTTCTGGCTGTTCTTCCTTTCCCCTGCAATCAAGCCACCACTATGCGCCGCCGACAATCCAGGCACCCGTAAACATGAAGTTTAGGGGGTTCCGGCCTACCGCACCACAATGGCTGGCACCACCAGCCAAAAAGGAGGAAAAGGGCACCCACACCAGTTCTGCTTTTTCTTCAGCGCGCAGTACTTGGGAGGCTTGTCAAAACAGGCTCGAACGTAGTGGTGGTTTATGAAGGAGAACAAAGAAAGAAAGGGTCTCTCCTCCTCCTCCACCTACCACTCCCCCTGACCCTCTTCCTCGTCCACATACCCTCCACCAAGTAGTTGCCCCCCTTCCCCTCTTCCTTCTCCTCTGTGTACCCCAGCCCCGCATCCCCGTTCCTCCACCTCTATGAAGCTCTCTCACCTTCCTCCATGTACCTCGGGTTCTGTCTGTTTGGGCCTGCCAGTAGTACTGGCCAGAGTGACCAGGCATCCGCCTGGCCCCACTGCCCAGTACCAAGCAGCAGGCTCTGCCTGCCTGCTAGGGAGTAGCCCTAGGCCCCTGGCTTACTTTATATTGTTGTACTGCTGCCATTTTTCCGATCGAGTTTTGCTGCTACTTTCGGTTGTTGTTCTCCATGTTGGAGTGTACTGCCCATGGTATGTGAGTGATGTCCGTCCCAGCTTGCACACCATCTCCATCACCATCAAATCCGTAAGTGAGCTCTCCATCGCCATCAATCCAGAATCAAATCCGTGAGTGATCTTGCACTCCAAATCTTGCTTCACTCCGCATTCCCCCGTTATACCTTAAACCACCAGTATGTTTCCCAGCCATTTTTCTCCAACATGCAGCCCCACCACAACTTTCAGGGGTCAGCCATCAGAGCAGAGTTGCAGCCATTGCTAGCCAAAAGAAGGCCCGCATCGGTTCGTTTTGGGGGGACCAGGCAGTGCATTCTGAGGAACTACTCTCTCTCTCTCTCTCTCTCTTGTGCACGCACACACACGCAGAAATGATATGCCTATAACAGCGAGAAATTGGGGGGGGGGGGAGAACTAAATTACTCATACCATCAATAACCATAACAGAAGACAAAAGAAGGGGCTCTCCTCGTCACCCTCTCGCTCCTCCTCCACGTACTCCTCCCCCAAAACCTCTTCGTCCGCCCCCACATACCTCACCCTTGCCCTCCACATAATTCTGTCCAAGAGAATGCTTTAACTATTTACAATCTCTCTCTCTCTCTCTCTCTCTCTCTCTCTCTCTCTCTCTCTCTCTCTCTCTCTCTCTCTCTCTCTCTCTCTCTCCCGCTGCTTGTTTCCATGCCCCGTACGGCACTAAATGGCAACAACACTGCGCTATGTTTCAAGCTCTGCGCAATGGGGGCCATTATCTCGAGTCACGAAAGGCACACGGCATCATGTTTTAGCACCACAAAGTGGAGACTCTAGCGCACAAAATGCAAGTCCTTGGCGCAAGAATACTTTGGCGAACAGCCCCTTGAAGTGGTCTTTTGGGCCGCATGGGCACTGAAATTCGTGGGTGGCACGTGCACGCGGCCGCATGAAACACAATCTAGGTTTATAGCCCATGAACACTTCACGTCCAATTTTCCCATATGACGCCATCAAGGTGGTACTGTGAAATCACAGAAAACAGAAAACCGGCCAGACACTCGGCAGGTGGAGGCCAGCAGGAAGGACCAAGCGCTCGAGCACTAGAAGGAACCTGAGCCTATCACACATTGGAATCTTCTGCAGAAACCGCCGTCCCAAAAGTTGAGCAGCCTTCTCTGGTTGCAGTCAACGCTTATTACGACCTCTGGAGCCTTTCTCATGCCCATTGGAATGGAGGTTTTATTCACTTGCACCCACTGCAAGTGGACCTGGGAGACTACCAGGGCACCTCTGGATGGATTGCCCATTCACCGAAGGATCCAGTCATGATGCAAGTTGGCGCTGTTTGCCGTTCAATCTCAACGGATTCTGGCTGGCATTCCCCCGGAGGGCAACAAAGACCGGTGGCGGAGGCCATACGTGGCACAGGTCTTCCGCGCGGTTTTGTTAAGTGTTGTTTGGGAGGAGGGAGCAAGGAACATGTCTTCTGCCAGAATGGCACTCCTCGTCATGTGCTGAAAGACCACACCCGAACTCGACACCGTTGCTGTATGTGGTCAGATTGGCGTAGGAAAGCAAAAGAGCGGTACGAACGGGCAGGCGACCGTTTGGCTTTAGAATACCTGGGGAGCTCGGTACCTGCTTGTGATGCGCGCCCTCAGGGGAAGCCAGCGCCCCCCTCCTCTTGGTTGTGGGGTAGGCAGCATCAGGGCCCAGTTAGGGTTTCGCATGGCCCGCCACTCTTTTTTTTTTTTTTTTTTTTTTTTTTTTTTGAGAAATTGTAGCTTTATATTCTAGGAAATTTTGAGGCCGGGGACCTCACAATTCAACCCGGAAGTCACCAATGACCACTTTGGAAACCGGGTCCAGCATCCCTGAAACCGATCTGCTCTCAACAGCACTAAAGGAACTCCTCAAAAATAGACCTTGAAGCTCAGAAAAGGGTGGCCGAACTAAAAATACAGCTCTAAATACCCTTCAGCCAGTAGTAGCGAATTAAAACTTTCCAAACCTGATTAACTGGAAAACCCAAAGTTTCCAAAATTAAAAGGGGGGCTATCCAAAAGGACTAGCTCATACAGTCACGAAGTGTCTTCTATTCTGTCTGTCTGCTGTATCACGAGAGTCTAAACTCGACTCCCCCAGTTCGCCGACCGGCGACCCTTTAACCTGTGAAACCTCAAATCAAGCACAATATCAAGGCATTTGCTCCAGGCCTTTACTCCAACTTGCCTGAGTCAGCAAAGGAGATAGGAGTAATCACCGTACCGAAAGGCTAAAAGGCCTTCCAGCAATTCAGGTTCTACATGTCACTAATGAATTCCCCTCCCCAACCAGCTACAGACAGAAAGTTTTCCTTCAGGGGATACCTGTGCCAATCGATCATTCAGAGCCCTAAGGATTTCAAAGGACCACCCAGTTTTTTAATCCTAAGGAATTCAAAGGAGGTCTGGGAAGATAAGAACCTTACCTACAGAACGGTCCAAGAACGGTCCAAGACTTCAAGTCGTATTCACCAATCTCCCAGAAGAAAGCAGTAATCACCTGCAGTCTCCACCGTATCTACCGAATGACTTCGGACGAAGAACTGGTAGGCCACGGATTACTCACGCTGAAAAGAATGCTAAGGCTACAGGACTACCCGAATAAATACTTTGATGGATGCCTATGGAAATTCATCAGAAAACGAGCGCCGTCATGGATAAAATGGGTGGGGAAATAAGTTCTGCGGGTGGTGAAAAGTAGGGAAGGAAAGCTAAGGAACTGACCGCCTCTATGTGACTTCACTACTGAACCGAGTTCGGAATGTATCTCAGCAGTTTTTTTAATAAAAGTACACGAAGGCAGCAAGGAACAGGGACAAAAGCTAAATACTACGAAATGAAGATACACCAGTAATCTGAAATCTTTTGGATCTTTTCAGACCTCTGGTATATCGGGTTTTTTCAGAGCCTTTAGTTTTCGCTTTAATTTCGACAATTTTCAACGGCTTTATATCGACGCTTTTTTGACGGAATCATTTCGATGTCTCTTCGGCAGATTTATTGCGGAAAACTTTCGATAAAAACGATGGAACTTGTAAAACGTCTTCGGATCGACAGATTATTTTCAGGTAGAAAACGACAAAGGTTAGGAAAAGTTTCGGATCTCCGAAGATTTTTTGCAAAATTCAGAATTTTATGACGGATGATTTTAGATAATTATTTTAGATATTTTTCCAAAAATTATCGGGCTCATTGGGCAGAAAAGACAAAATAGAAGTTACCGGGCCCCGATAAATCGCACAGTACGGATGCAGCTGGTAAAGGGAAAAGGCCAACAGATTTTCATACCTACTGGGAATATCCGCTGATCCATAGCAAGGCAAATCTGCAAGGTAGATTTAACGGAGAAATTTTTCAGAGAGCCGTTGTCTTTTTCTCAGATGGGAAAACGTTTTTAGAGAAGTAGGGAATGAGACTTTCAAGAGAAGGTAACTTACCGACGGTTTTTACGGAGCTTGTAGTATTTAAGACATAGAAGTAACTCATTTTTCATCTCGAATTTTTTCCCTCCTGACGAGGCTGGATGCTGGCTCCAGCCGAAACCGGTCGAGGGCGCCAGACTTACTATCTCCCGTAAGGGTGATGGTTCGTACTCCATAGCCGCTGGCTATGGGGAAACTCATTTTGTAATTCTTTCTATCATACTATTGAGTTCAATTTCCGAGTTACACAATTTCTGGCATTCGCGTGTCTGTGTTTTGCGTTCGGCTACGCTTCCATCTCCAACTCCAATTCAGAGCCCATGTCTTTGTGAAACCACAACCAACCCTTCCGTTGCCGATCCGCAATTATCGTCAGTCTAATTCTTGACTTAATGAGATTCTTCAGTTGGTCAAAATTCTTGACTTAATGAGATTCTTCAGTTGGTTGAACCCCGTGTCTTCGTCCCTGAAAAGCTTCTGGTTTCGCGCCCACCAAATTGCACTCATAATAATACCTCTGCAGACCTGGGCTATATAGGGCCAACCATAGTCTTTTGGAGGATATGTGTTGCTGCAGCCCAGAACGGATCCAAAGGTCCGTCCAATCATTTGGGGCTGTTTTAATCTTGCACCAGTGTTTCCTCCACCATTGCCAGATACGAAGAGAATGGGGGCACAATGCAACCAAAGGTGGGAAGTGGATTCTGTTGCCCATCCACAACGAACACAAGTCACCGATAGGATCATTCGACTGTAGCAGTCATAGAGTACTGGCCACCTTTTGGTCCGCCATCCTGCAGAACTGTTCCCATAATTTCAAGAGCTCATCTTCTGTCACTCTGTGAGCAGAGATTGTCTTCCCACTTTGGTATGGTATCTTTTCGTCTTTTGTTCGGTAAGTTCTTCCTTCTTTTCTAATTTCATTTTCTTGTGGTCTTGTACTTGTACTACGTCGGATTGTTTATTTTGATGGGAGGCTGTGGCCCCTTTTCCAGCCTACTTGAAGCTGGGTAATGACCCCAGTGCTGGCTGGGCTTTGATTGTAATGTTCCAAGGCTCATCCTTTTGTCCATGAATGCTGCTCTTTCCTGTTCTTGCTTTTTTTTAAAAAAAAAAAGAGCACCTGAGCTGTTTGGGATCCTCAGAAACTTGATGCAACACATCTCATTCGTTTCATCAACGATCCAGAAAGAAATGCAAGACCTCTATCCTGGTGGTGGTAAGAGAACCACCAGGATTGAGGCTTTAAACCGGCAAGCACTTACTTTGCATCTACTTTTTTCAGTTCTAATTGGCTTGCTCGGGCGATCAAAGGCAAAATAAGGAAAAAGTGCCAAGCCAGTTGTACTGCGCGCTTGCTTTTTTTTGTTTCGGTTTTGCTTTCGAGGTTTCAATCTAATCGCCGCACCAACGATTGTTCGTCTCATCCATCCACCTTGGCTGCTGCTGCTTTACTCCACCGGAGTTAGGCCATACACCTGTACCGTCTCGAAACGCAGAAACCATTCGTGGAAAGACTGCAGAAGTGCACCTGGGTTCACATGTGCACTTCAGGCCCTGGGAGATGCCGGACAGCCGGGATGGCATGGGTCCGCATCTTTTCGCAGTGGTGCAGGCTGAAGTGCGACTCGAAAGAGCACAAAAAGGGCAAAAACAAAAAATCAGAACAAGAAAAGATCAGCTCGTGAGGTGGCTTTTGCCCAATCTTTTCCAGTGCACTGCGGACTCGAGAGTCGAGATGGAAAAGAAAGAGGGAAAGACGACTTTTTGCGGGATTTAAAAGCCCTTTGATGAAGGTGTGAGCTCTCCCAGGGACGAAGTCCCACTTGCCTGGATTCTTTTTTCTAGACCCTACGGCGAAAAAATTTGAGCCCTGAGCCATGACTTTTCCACTTGAATGAATTTCGATCGGAGTCAACAGGCCTCTTCGGCCGGCCCAGCGCATAAACGAGCAAGCAGCGACTTGCAGAAGAAGTACTGGTGGTTTAAACCACCTGTACCCCAGGGGGTCTTAGGCCCCCTCTGGGTAGGCTCTGAGGCAAATGCATATGGACCTGCGTGGCGCACAGATTCAGCCACCGCATTAACGGCCTAAAAACGTCCAGGTACCGGTGGTTTAACGAATAGGAACACAGAATCTGCATACATGGGACTCCGCCCCAGGGTTGCATCCGCCAGGCCCAGGGACATACTAGGAAAACATAAACCACCACCAATAGTCATGACCGTCCTTGTTACCTGCGGAGGATACGGCCTTTTTTCTGGTTCGTCCGCGTCCGTTGGATTGACACATCAGACCGTTGGATTGACCATCAGACCGTAACCGTTCTTATCCCTGTCCGCAGGGGTTGTTGGCCCGATTTTCAGGGCAGTGGCGGTACGGGCATGACTATACCCTAACTCTACCGTCTAAGGAGATTCTCGCGCTAGGACTCTTCCCTGGATGTAATGCGACCACGTTTCCTACCCGGCCTGGATGCATCTGACCGCAACTACGTCCACAGAGGAGTGGAAAGAGTCATAGTGTGAGAATGCTCTGAGTCCGATCTCAGTTTCTTCCAGAATCAGCGTTTTGTTCTAATCAGTTTAAACCACCAGTACTTGGCCTCACTTGGAAAATACACGTGCATCATTTACGGGCTCATCAACTTTCGAGGTCGTCGCGCACCATCTGTCATTTTCATTGAAGGCCGGCATCGCATTTCGGGCCTCGAAAACTTGTGCTGAGGGGCCCGCGGCTGATATACGTAGGCCAAGCACTGGTGGTTCTATATCTGGAAAAGAAAAAAAGAAGCATGGACCTGGTGGCCCTGAATAGAACTCTGCCACGGGTCAGCTGTCAACATCATCGCCCTCCTGCTCTAACAGGTTATCTCACCTTCTGGTGAGTGCAGCCCCTGCATGTTCCCTCATTGAAGGCATGAGCACGGATGTGGCTGCTACGGGGTTCCCCACAATACTATAATGATATTGAAAAGGCCTTAAAGGCCATCCTGTCCAGATTTGGCAGGTAATTGAATTGGTTGGGCTTAAAAGAATTGGCCTTTATATATATATCGTCACAAATAGATATATATATATATCGTCACAAATAGAACTGCCCGGTAAACCGTAGGCAGAGAGAGAGAAGAGGACAACAAATGAGGGGCTGTGTATATATCGTCACAAATAGAACTGCCCGGTATATATATCGTCACAAACAGAACTGCCCGGTATATAAAGATATATGTGACGATATATATTCTCAATGTGCACTTTGTGGATCACGTCGATCTGGCACAAAGCCCGAGGGCCATGCCCCACTTGCGGAGGTGGTTTGGTTTTCGTTTGGAGTAGTAGTGCAACAGCCCAGACGCAAAAGGAAAACAACGGGGGCCAAGTCCCACTTACGCTGATCCTTGATTTCTGGTCGTTGATCTTCCGAATCTGTGGTCAGAAATCGATCATTCGGGTAAGTGGGTCTTGGCCCCGGGGCTCTAGATCTGCGAACCGTTACGCAATGGGCTGCCCGAGGATATCAGTTTTATCTGTCACGAAATTGAATTGAAAAGAAAATTAAGAAAAAAAAGTTCAAAAAATTACGACAGAGTGTCCCTGATGACTGACGGACGAACCACAGCATTCTTCAGGCACATGAGCCACCGGACAGAACAGAGCTTTTTTTTTTTTTTTTTTTTTTTCCCCTTTTTGACAACAAATGGTCCACAGTCTATTCGCAGAGCTGATATATTTGTAGGCTAGAAACGAGAACTGTCTGGTTTTGTTCCCTCTGGTGGCTCATGTACCTGAAGAACGCTGTGGCTGCTCCGTCAGTCGTCAGGTACAAACATATCGGCTCTGTTCTGCCGGCTTTTGTTCCTCTGGTGGCTCATGCACCTGAAGAACGCTGTGGTTGGTCCGTCAGTCATCAGGTACACTCTGTTGCCGTTTTTTTCTTCATTTTCTTTTCAATTTATCAATTCACAACAGATAAAGCTGATACACTCGGCCAGCCCATGATGTAATGGCCTCAGATAAAAAGCTGCCTCATTTTCCTTTTGCACCTGGGTTGTCACTCCAAACCAAAACCAAAACCAAAACCAGAACTCCACAAGTGCACCATGACCCCCAGGCACACTTACCACTGGAGCCACTGGAGCCCTGGGCTGTGGTCCCATTAGCAAAGAGCAAAGGATTGAATGCCTGAATCTGGACGTGTTTGAGGAGGACAGGAGCAGGAAATCGAGATAGAACTGGTTTTCTGTATCTCTACATAAAACATAGCCAGATTCAGGATTTTTATCCTATCCCCTTTGCTAGTGCGACCACGGCCCTGCTCTTTCCTTTTCTTTCTTTGAGATGCAACTGACCACCCCGACGTTTTCAGGATTATTTTATTTTATTTTATTTTATTTTATTTCATTCATTTAGTTCCATCTGGATTCAAAGTCAGGTCTGTATCTCAACAGTTGGTGGGTGTGCCAACTGAGCAAGGGCGGTGGGTCTGGTGTTTTATTTTCCCGTATAGCCCAAAGATCTCGTATAGGTAGATACGCGAAGGCCAGCCTAAACTTAGAAGATCTCGTATAGGCAGGTACGTACATCCAAAAAAAAAAAAAAAAAAAAAAAAAAAAAAAAA